GACCTATATGTAGAAAATGTTACATTTACATCATGGATCACATATTGATCAGATGCTGCTGCTGACTGATCCATAAAGGACCACAAGGACCAGGATGTGACACAAAAATCTGAATTATGGAACTGAAAGTGAAAGTAGTCAAACTGAATTTTTAATAAACCAAAATATAGTTTCAACGCAAACTAATTCTGATACAAAACTTTAAATTCAGTTTCAACTTAGTAAAATTAATTTTCAAACCAATGCATTCAATTTCAAATTATGCACATTCAGATTCAATCTGAGCGATTCAAATTCAATTCCTGCTGGCACAAGATTTATCCCACAGTGATTGACTGATTGATTAACTGATTGATTGATTGACTGACTGACTGACTGACTGACTGACTGACTGACTGACTGACTGACTGACTGACTGACTGACTGACTGACTGACTGACTGACTGACTGACTGATTGATTGATTGACTGACTGATTGACTGATTGATTGACTGACTGACTGACTGACTGATTGATTGATTGATTGATTGATTGGATCAACACTGAGTTAACATGCAGTCAAAAAGTTACAGTCAAAAAGAGAAATGTAATTTTGTGTGAAAATTCAGTGCAGAATGTTCAAATTAAAGCCAGCAAAGCTAAAAGCTTAAAATGAACTGAAGCAGGAAACTTACCAAATGAACCAAGATCCACCTCCCTGTAATCCTGAATTATAACAGAAAAATTGTCTCATTCCACTGATTATTTTTGTAGAGTAAAAAAAAGTTCAGCAGAGTCTGGGATTAATTCTCCTGGCGACATAAATACCAGATTTGATTGCACTGTTGGTGAGATACTTCACAAAAAAAAGAAAAGAAAAATAAACAAGATTATCATGGAGGTGCTCGATGAAACGCGCAGAGGCTCCATCAGCTGTGAAACACTTTAGTCAGGATAATCTGTTTAAAGGTGGTGGATTAACAGAGAAACTGTCAGCGTCGATACAAACAAATCACTTGTAAATCCCAGAATGTTTTTTGTCAAAACGCAGAAAATGTGACAAACACTGTCGTCCATGTTTAATCATCCTCACAGAGGACGTTCAGAAACCTCCACCACCTGCAACACATCGAGAGCAAAACGGTTCCTTATTCTAAGGGRGAATGTCACGTTTACCAACAATCAGACGAGATTATAATCCATCATCTTCACGGATGGCGTAGAGTCAGTGAAAGCAGAAGACATGAGCGCCACAAACAAACATCACCTGGTTTGTCTCCTGTCAGTGGTCCATCTCTGTCAGGTTTCCCCAAGTCGGACCGCCGGCGTGATCAGAAGCGGTGAATTTGAGGGGCGGAGTGCCTCCTGTCAAGTTTCAGTGGCAGGGATGTAATCCTCGATGAATGGAGTTATGAAGGGAGGAAGGGGGGGAGGGGGGATCCACTGTTATCCATCCATCCATCCATCCATTTTCTGTACACGCTTCTTCCTTTTCAGGGTCGCGTGGGTCACTGTTATATTCATCACAAATCCTCTTTCCAATCTTTACATCATTCTTAACAGGAACAATGTTTGGTGATGTCATTTGGCCACATGGTTATATTTACACGAATCTGAGAAGAGTCAAAGGGAGAGAGGCCATTATCCTGAACATAGCTTTCAGATGAAGTCAGGCTCGGATGAACGAAAAAAAAAAAAACTAAAAGCGGTAATGCCAGAATTAAAACCATCCTCCCTAGTTTGCGATAAAACAGATCCTTCAAACGTGAAGATGCGTCTGTGATTTGTCACAGAAAAAGCTGCAGAATAAACTTCTGTTTTGTGAAAAAGGCTGTGAAGCAACAGAAAGAGGATTGTGTTGTAAATCTTCCCCAGCAGACAGATTATTTTCCTGCTCCAGGAGATGTCAGAGCTGCCTCAGGACATGATGTTTGCTGGCCTCAAGGAATCAGATCTCACTGTTGGCTCTGCTCCACGGAGAAAAAACTATTTGACCTCTTAAATGTCTAATGCCCCGCCAGAAAAGGTCTAAATAACAAAAGAAGAAGAAGAAGCTGATGAAAGTATCCAGGACTAAACCCCTAATCTAAGTTGTGTAAAAAAAAAAAAAAACAGAATGCTTTGATAAAACCAGATTTTATTCACAATGGAACAAATTATTTCTAATGTTTCAATTAAAATTGCACCAAGTAGTTTATTTTATAAAACTGGTTTTATCTTAGATATTAGAAAAAAGTGTTTAGAAATTTAAAAAAATCTAATTTCTACTTATTTTAATTTTAAAACAAGAAGTTTAAACTTCTTGTGAGACAGTTTGTTGGTTATAAACTGCAGAAAGATGTTGAGGAAAGTTGTGAAGTTTAAGCTTTTTCTGCTTTAAAATGACAGAAAACTATCTCAACTTTGACCTAAATAAAGCCGTGACTTTTCCCCAAACTAATTATCTGCCTTCATTTCCCTCTAAATCCTCGGTTTTACTGCAGCTGTCAGATTAAATTCCCATTAAAATGTTTGTTAAAGCGACTAAAACAACAACTAATAAATCGTCTTGATGTTCAGAGTGCGTTCTGTGAGTAAAAACTGTGTTGTAATATTCTGTTCGGGAGACATCTGCATTCATGTGGGTTTGTACCGACGGGTGTGTTCGGGTGTCTGTGTGTCTCAGAGGATTATTTCCAGCGGTTGATTGTTTGGTGTGAGCTTTGCGAAGGGATGGAGATATAATCCCCCGCCCCGCCCCTCCACAAAACTCGTTTAACAGACGGAAGAGGAGGAGGAGGAGGAGGAGGACGCTCGCCGCACTGCAGGATTCCCTGCAGGAGTCAAACGATGGTGCTCAAAAAGTCACCCGCTAACAGAAAACACATGCATCTGTAAAAATGTAGGTTTTTATCCAGTTAAAGTTCTTATCTTTGATCATTAGGGCTGAAATTCAGCTACTAATGATTCTTTTCTATAATCAAATCTGTGTTTTTGCATTTTTTTTTTTTTACTTTTGACCCACAAAATAAAAACAGCAGAGCCTCATGATCCTGCTGAAGTCTTCTAAAACGGTTATTAAGACATTTGTACTGTTGGGTTTTTAAGGCTAAATATGCTAACAATCATTATCAAAGTTTATTRGATTTTTATAGAACTTTTCAAGACCCCAACCTTAGGAACCACCAGTTCAAACATCGTTCTTCCCACAAGAGATCAGTTAATATATAAAAAAAAGAAAAGGAGAAAAATCCACGTCAGGTTAAAGTGACTGTCAGGTCAAAGGTCAAAATTTAGATTTTTCTTGTTCCAAAAGCTTTAGCGTACTGAGCCCACGAGGGGACGTGGGGGATTCTTATTCTTTTTGCGTTCCCACGCAAAAGTATTGCGTTACCTCGCAATACCTTTTGCGTTCCCTCGCAATACCTTTTGCGTTCCCTCGCAAAAGTAGTTTATCACTGTTGTGCCTGCCGGTTTATTAACAAACTCACATGTTCACCATTAGCATGTTAGCTTGCTGCTTTAATTCAGCTTCAGAATGAATATATCACAAAACCAGGCATGGAAATTTGTCATATGCTGATATTTGAACACAGTGCAGCCACGCAACATCAATGTCAATTTCATGAACTTGTGGCGACACATCCTGTTTTGGTAACCGGATATTTCAAAATAAAAGTCTTTAATTCAGTTCATATWCAAATCAAAGTTTTGCGTGAGAATGCAAAACAATATTGCGAGGTAACGCAAAAGTATTGCGAGGTAATGCAAAAGAAAAAAATACCCCCATGTCCCCTCGCGGGCTCTGTATTAGCGTGAAAATTACTTTTAATTTCTTTGAGGTATTTTTTGTGAAATTAATTAACAGARGAGTCGTTTTTGGTCTATTTTTTATTTATTTGAAGCCGACTTTCTCCTAAACAGAAATAATAATTTTTGTAGCTACATCAACAAATCTTTTGAACCTTTTTTATGTTTAAAATCAAGCAGAAAATCCCGACAAATTTATTTAGTGACAAATATATAGTGAGTGTGACTAAACTCAAATTACTATAAATTTCTGTTTTTTTAATTATTATATAACTTACAAGTGACTTTTTAAACTAAATAAATGTTTGGATTTGATACATTCTGATTAATTTAGTTAAAATAACCTCTGCCGGATGCAAACATCTGCGCTTCAAAGCACTGCAGAACCTAATTCCTTCGGTTTGTGTGTCTGGTTTGACTCTACCTGTGGTGTGGGGGGCGGGGGGCACGGGGTGTGTGTGTGTGTTTATTAACTCTGTCGGTGTCGATCAGATCAGAATCAGAATCAGATGTGACCCTGTGCAGGGCAGAGGGCTCCTGCTGAAACCTTTTAAAGGGATAAATGTGGTGTTTATTCTCAGATTATTAGATGAGTTTTACAGATTACAGCCCCTGCTGTCTGTTCGCAGGTTGGGTGAATCAGTAAAGAGGATGAAGGTGGGACGGTGTGATGGACAGCTGACATGTTGTGGGTTTCTGCTGCACCTCAGAGAGGCTCGGGCCCAACTCTCCCCAGGTCCAGCCCGTCCCGTTAAAGTCACCTCAGTCTTGTCGGCACCGATTTCAGATTATTATCAGAGTTTTAATTGTTACCTTCAGGGCCCTGCTTACCCATCAGATGTTCAGTTCAACTGAAAACATACTAAAAGGATCAACTCTTATCAACAAATCCTCCTAAAAGTTTGTTTTAAAGAACAAGCTGAAGCTGAGTTTAAACAGACGGACACTTCCTGGATTTATTGCAAATATGTGAGCCGAAAATCTGCTGAAAGTAACGTTTCCTGTTAATTTAGACTTAAATATTATTCAGGCTGAAGATATTTTCAGTTAACAGGTGGTCTGAAAAACCAGATGGGCTCCAGAACCGCAGGTTGCAGCAGAAATTAGACAGAAATCTGACAAAATTGTTTCCAGATACTTTTGGAAAAGGACTTGTGTGTTCTTCTGATTTTAGATTGGATGTGTGTGTGTGTTTGTGTGTGTGTGTGTGTGTGTGTGTGTGTGTGTGTGTGTGTGT